ATAGATATAAAAATAAAATATCGAATATAATTGAAGTTTATCTGTGTATAATTAAATTTAGTTAAGCACAATTAATTCGTTTCAGTAATTCTCAATTAATTTCGAACAATTCATTCGAAAATTCTTGTTAATTCTTATTGATTTCAGTTCCAATTAATTCTTACGTCTTATTATTTGTTATTTTATATCGGCGAGATATTGAAATAAAAAATTATTTAAATATAATGTATTCGTATCGAAAACAAGATAAAGTTAGATTTCTATATTAACCATGAAATGAAAATAATAAAGGATTCGAGATAATCGGATTATGTCTAGGAAGCGATTTCTTAGGGACGATCAATCCTATCGAGACTCACTCGAACAATGGCGGAATTCGAAGCGAACGTGGCTCCCGTAAAATCTGTCGATTGGTATGGCCAGTCGAACGGTCTCCGCCCAGGCCGGACTATTGTGATGGTATATGACTAAGCTTTGGTATTCCGAGCTGCCCTCCATTCCAGCTGCCCCAAACAAACAGTCCTCCAAGGGTTGGCCGTCCGCGTCCAATACCAAAATGGTCACCTAAACGTTCCCGAGAAAATATTCGCTTAGAATATTATACATCTTGTACACGGTGTCATAAAATTATACATCTTGTACACGGTGTCACAAGATGTTCGTTGAATTACTTTGTAATTTAATTCAGTGACGATCTGCATTACAAATTACAATGTAATTTATTTACTTTGCAATTTAGTTCAGTGGTGATCGGAATTTCGAATTACAATGTACTTGAATTACAGTATAGTTAAATTACAGTGTAATTGAATTACAGTATAGTTAAATCACAGTGAATTACAGTATAATTAAATTAGAGTTTAATTGAATTACAGTATAGTTAAATTACAGTGTAATTGAATTAGAGTATAGTTCAATGACAGTGTAATTGAATTACAGTATAATTACATCACAGTGTAATTGAATTACAGTATAATTAAATCACAGTGTAATTGAATTACAGTATAATTAAATTACAGTGTAATTGGATTACAATATAATTGATTTGCAATGTAATTGAATTACAGTATAGTTAAATGACAGTGTAATTGAATTACAGTACAATTAAATCACAGTATAATTGAATTACAGTATAATTAAATCACAGTGTAATTGAATTACAGTATAATTAAATTACAGTGTAATTGGATTACAATATAATTGATTTGCAATGTAATTGAATTACAGTATAATTAAATTACAGTATAATTGGATTACAAAGTAATTGATTTGCAATGTAATCGAATTACAATGTAATCGAATTAATCTTTTCATAGTCGTATGATACGTTTCTCTCTCTTTTTTTCTAGCAACGAACAAAATAACGCGGCACGCCATCCTCTATCCTCGCGAAATGTAATTGAGAAACGTTCAATGTGACCAACCTCGATGTTCTTCCCCGTGGACTTTCCGCCTCTCTCGAACTCGCCGCGCTCCAGTTTCAGGTACAAATCGTTCCGCACGTCGCCGGGCATGATCACGTCCGAGAAACCTAGCTTCTTCGTCAGACAGATATTCTTGAAGAGCAGAGGATTCTCCACCCTCACCTGGGACAGCTCGCCGTGTAGAACCCGCAGCGAGACCACGATCCCGTAATTCGGCTGGCCCGGAAGCGGCGAACACTTGTTGTTGCGGATTATTTGCTCGTGCAGCTGGTGGAAGTCCTTCTCCTCGCCCTGGCACACCTGGAAGAACGTCGCGCACACCATGCTATTTGTTCATACGCTGCCACACACGCAGATCTTATCCGTCGAGTGTTAATTACAAGAAGCCTTTCTCGGGACGGAGAATGCTCATTTTAATTCGACCGCCTTCCAATGGTAATCGTGCGAAAAGCTTTGCGATCACGCAGATTCTCATCTTCTCTAATTGTTTATTATCCGGTCGGGGAACTTTTACACGGCCAGTACGACGGCGTTTTTCGATTTCAGTTTCAGCGAATCGTGTACGTTCAGCAAAGGAAGCTCCGGTTACCTTGACCTTGACATAGGGCGGTGTTCATAATTTATGGACTGTGAAAGTAACTTTTACATTGTTACTGATATTCAAATGAGAACTTAACAAAATATTATATTTGTGTTATTATTTCTATTTTCGATTATTTCTAATATAAAAATATACGAATACGATGGTTTGTTGAGCTCTTTTTAAATATACAGGATGACTCGGCTAGAAGCGCTGCCATATACAGTGCTGTGAATAATTATAAACTCAAAATTACTTTTACATTTTTACCATCTATGGTGCTGTGAATAATTATAAACTCGAAGTAACTTTTACATTTTTACAGATGTTTAAACAAAAGCCAAGAAAAAANTAATAAGTTTTTGTTTAAATAGTGTTTAAAAACCAAAAAAAAAAACTGATAGAACTATTTTCCTAATAGAAATATTATTTTCTGTATTAATTCCTATAGAAGTATTGTTTTCTATATTAATTTCTATGGAAATATTATTATTTAGAAATTTATAGAAATATTATTTCTTATAGAAGTACTATTCCTAATAAGGAATAATAGAAAATAGGAATATAATAAGTTTTTGTTTAAATAGTGTTTAAAAACCAAAAAAAAAAACTGATAGAACTATTTTCCTAATAGAAATATTATTTTCTATATTAATTCCTATAGATGTACTATTTTCTATATTAACTTCTATAGAAATATTATTACTTAGAAATTTAAAGAAATATTATTTCTTATAGAAGTACTATTCCTAATAAGGAATAATAGAAAATAGGAATATAATACGTTTTTGTTTAAATATCTTTAAAGATGTAAAAGTCACTTTACGTCTATAATTATTATTGTTGGTTGGTGCAAGACGGCCAACGAGAGGACGAAGGACAATAAGGACGAGAGAGCAATAACTCGTAAACAAAGCCGCGGATTGCATTTGCGCTGAGGAAAAAGTGATTTCAGGAATTTCCCGAGTTTGAGTAACTTTTGAAGCACCCTGTATATTCCTTATTGACTCATTATGTCAACTGTTTCCTTTACTTAATTACATTTTAATAAAAAAAAAAAATAAGTCGAGGCAAAAACCTTTTGGAAAATACTAAGCAGAACGACCTTCGCAACAAATGTCAAAATCAAGGTCACATCACCGCATGTTCTCCTAAACGCAAAGCTTCCTTTACTTACCGTTGATTTCGTTCGTTCTACCGCTGTGTTAGAGATGTTTTAGGAATCGTAAAAAAATTTTGCAATGGACAGTGACACGACTGCTGAAACCGTCGCGGAAAAATATTTCTAACGAGAAACTTGGACCGCGTGTCGAAGTTGCACCGTTATTTAAACGACGGTCGATTTCAAAGGGTTCTCGATCTCGGACCGAAACTTCGCTGTTTGAACTACCACGGTCGATCTATGATATTTAGGTTAACCTCCGAAGTTTCCGTAGCAGTAATAACTTCTGCAAGATAAGAAGCTTCCGCGACGGAAAGTTGCGCAGGGTTGCAATTCCCACCGCGATCGATGCATCATCAAATTCCAAAGTGAGCAACGCGATACGAGCGAAGGAGGCAACCATAATGCATAAAATGTCGCGAAGCTCGTAGGCTTCGAGGATTATATAATATAATATATATTTATATTATATATTTATACAATACTAACTATTATAGGAATATAATTTGTCCGAGTGTCCGACATTTTCACCAGAAATATCTCCCTTATATCCCGAAAACGACGCACAAGTGGTCTGGGACGCCGAATTTTGTGGACAAAATTACATTTTTCAAGTATAACATATCGATAAATATTTTCTGGCAGAAATTAGCACACGTTCAAAGATCCTAAATCCGGGATATTACGGAATATCAGAGAACAAGTTTTAATGATGGTTTTATATAAGTCTTAAGCATTTTTGTAATGCTTACACAAATAGTGAAAACCTTTAATAATTTACACTTTGGAGGAGGTTTAAAAAAGAAATGTTTAAAAGTGTTCGACTTCGGACATTGTTTATATGAACACGGTTACATAATTGTGAACAAAATATATAATTTTCAAGTGTTAGTTCTTGCAAGAGTTTTAACACTGTGTGAATTTAATATATATTTAATATATTTAATGATATTAATATATAGAAGATTATTCTAATTTCAGGTACAAAAGGTCACTTCCAGACCACTTAGCACCGTTTTGAGACATTTTGAGACATTTCTGAAAATATACCAATACTCATAATAATAATAATAATAATATAATAATATAAAAATGACTTCAAATAAAAATTTTTTTCCACAAAAAATGGAGGTTGCCTCAATTGTTGAAAAGTTAACAGGTATTTTTGACTTCATAATATGCTGACTGGTACAAAGACGAATTCAACGATCTACAATATCATAACCTTAAAGCTTAAAATAAAGCCAGAGTTCAACATTGTTCGAACACAATTTTATTTGAGCAATATTTCCGAATAAGTTCCACAAATAAAAAATGATTTCATTATTTATTATGTTTTTATATTTATATATATATTTTTTATATTTATATTTATAAATATAAATATTTTATATTTATTATATTTTTATCTAATAAATTTCAGATAAAATTTTATTCGGAATATTCGAATTAAAATATTCGAATAATATTTTGTTCGAAAAATTTTACTTACAATATTACTCGAATAAAATTGTATAATTGGCCATAGAAAGCGAGTTCCCGGACCACCGTCCTGCTCGAGGAAAACAATTTTGCTGGATCGCCAGGTGAACCAAAATGGCACTCCAGCCTCGAAGCAACGTTACCTTGAACGTCATCTCAAGTTCCTCGGTGTGATCCTGCGTGGCCTCGGCCAGAGACAGCACGGCGACCCCGTGCGGCCTCCTGTAGGTCGCGGTGCCCGCTTTGTTCTTCCCGGAATCGGAGTATAGCATCCTTCCGCAACGCATCACGTGCGCCACCATGTACAGATCCCGGCCCAGGTCCGCGTTCCCCAGGTCCGTGAATATCGTGCAGTTGGTATGGATCTTGTCGACGAAGCTGGAGAAACCCTCCTTGGAGATCCGCACGAGGAACCGCTCGCTCAAATATTGATTCCGTTTGGCGTCGTACAGGGAGAAGTAGATCTCGGTATCCTCGCCGACCGAGTGCCCGAAGTCCCTCATGCAGAAGTACAGATGATGGGTCAGGACCTTTTTGTGCTCCTTGCGTCGTAGAGTGCCCCTAGCCGATGCCCCTTGCGAATTCTCCGCGCTCTGTACGTGCTGAAAGATGAGGACGATTAGGTAACCTTGAACACAGGTAACATAACCTTGAATTCATTTTCGAATTCAGGGATGTGAAACTCGCGGCCCGAGATGAACATTTTTGATGTCAAGTATCAGAACGTAAACAATAATTTATATGTTTATACATATATGTATATGTTATAATATTTATAATATTTATAATATTTAGAATTATGTTTATATATATATATGTATATGTATATGTGTTTATTGCAATGTACTAGTCAAAATAAAAATATTTGTTTCTATGAACATTGATTTGTTTTTTGCGGCCCATCTAAAGTTAAGCATTGTTTATTTATTATTATGGACCAAGTTAGCTTTTGAGTTTGACACCACTGATTTGGATCATCGATTCATTTGTCGTAGCGATTCTTGGATTAGGCAGTAACTGAAGCTGGTGCAGGTGAATATAACCTTGAACAGGTAACATAACCTTGAATTCATTTGGATCAGGGATGTCAAACTCGCGGCCCGAGATGAACATTTTTGATGTCAAGTATCAGGACGTAAACAATAATTTAACTTTATATATGTTTATTACAATGTACTAGTCAAAATAAAAATATTTGTTTCTATGAACATTGATTTTTTTTTGCGGCCCACCTAAAGTTAAGCATTGTTTATGTGGCCCAAGTTAGCTTTTGAGTTTGAAACCCCTGATGTAGGGGGTGACCCACTTAAATCGACCCAGTCGAATATCTTCGAAACCGTCGATGATGATAAAAAACGTTTCAAACGAAATTGTAATGATTTTAGGGAGTGGGACGTAATCTGATATTAACCCTTTGACATACCGTCTTCGTCGCAGTTACTGTAATTAGACATTTTTCGATTGCAATAATTTCTTAGAAGGGAAAGAAAATTGGTGCTTATTGTGTGCCTAAATTTACTCGAATGCTTGAATATTGATGACAAGAGATTATAGAATTTTATTCCAATTTCAAAGGACAGAATAACATCTATACTCAAGTTATTGTCAGAAATTTTCATGACGCGTCGGACACGTCAAAATACGTCAAGGGGTTAATAAGATACGGGTATAATTAATCTTACATTTATCAAAAATAAACACGATAAAATAATACAAAAATAAAAGAATTAAGAAAATAAACAAAATAATAGAATCAAAATATATAACATGTCTTATTCAATAAATATAAAGTTAATTATGCCGGAAAACAAATGGAAGACCCAGCAATTCCTCACCCCACGATATGGCCAGCTGACCGAGTTTTATTTTGAGGTTAGTTTTCAATATTGTGTGTGAGGTAGGTATTCTCGTGTCTCCCTCACACTTCGTAATTATCCTTGCTTTAGCTCGGGAGAAGATTTCATCAAAATCGCGATGAAAAATCCCCGTTCGCAAAAGTTTAATGGGGGTTCTCGAGATTTCGGAATAGAGGATCGACGACCGGCTCGCATTCGGTCGCTGTGGCTCCAGCGAATTTAAATCCCGAAAAATCAAGTCACAAATATCGAGGCTCTGAATGCACAATGAGACGTTAAAAATTTCATGTCGGCGCGCACGTGCGTCGAATCCGAGTCGAAGACCGGCTTCATTTCGATTCTTGCAGGCCACTCGAAATGGTCAGCTCACCGACCAGAATTTCAATGAGCCTCGGCGTCCAGTGAACTGTTCGCTCAGCGTAGCTCCCTCTCTCACTCTCTCGTCCTCTCTTTCTTTCCCTCTCTCTCTCTCTCTTTCTTTCTCTCTCTCTTTCTCTCTCTCCCTCTCTCACTCCCGTCCTCTCTTTCTTTCCCTCTCTCTCTCTCTCACTCTCGTCCTCTCTTTCTTTCCCTCTCTCTTTCTTTTTCTCTCTCTCTCTCTCTCTCTCTCTCTCTCTCTCTCTCCCACATTCGCACTTTTTCTCTTTCGCTCTCTTTTTCAGTCATCGACTCTTTCATACGGGCATATTGGAGCCTCTCCACACCGGTCCCCCATTTTTTTCCCTCGATTGCGGAGTCGGCGGCAGTGTCGGGCTCTCTAAAGTGCTATCGGGCAACACCGTTCCTCCAGCATATTTTCCCGGACTTACGGGATGCGATGCGACTTTATAATTACCACATGATAGAGCTCCACCACGGACATGGTATCCGGGTCCACCATATGGGCGCCCTGACGAGGCACCAGGTCCAGGCCCAGTTTCCTGAAACAGTCGAAAAAAGAAAACGACCCGATCAGTTGAGGAATTTTGAATCTCCCGCCTTCTGCTGATCCTACGATGGGATAACGTCCCACACCAAAATAGAAGACACTGGTGAAATATTAGGTTGTTGCATATGGAATATCAGATTTTTATGAGAATAGTAAAAGCTTCATATATTTCTTTGATAAATGCTTATTTAATAAAAATATAATACGTTTGCTTCGATATATTTTTCCCAACGAGATTTTTTCTTTATTATAAATATAATAATATATAATAATAGGAGGATTATAGGAATAATAATATAATAATATATATATATAATAATAATAATATAATAATTATAAATATCATTCGCCATTTTTTAAGAAATTCGGGTTTTTTGAATGAATAAACTCGGCTATGGAGATTATAATGCTATTCTCAGTTGTTTATTCCGTAAGAAGAGTTGTAGGTGTTTAAAAAAATGAAAATCTATGAGCTTCAAACGAAAAACAGGAGTGAGTTAGGTATGGATTAGATGTAGGTTAGGTCTGCGCTAGGTCTGAGTCTTCCTCGTATGCTTCAGAAGTAAATATACACACACCGACAGAGGTTAAGAAACTTCACACACCGTTAACATTTGAATAGAATTTGATATCTTAACCAATACACGTCTTATTAACATAAATGTATATTAAATGTACACATTATATTATTGTAATATTGTAATATTATATATTGTAATATTGTAATATTATATATTGTAATATTGTAATATTATATATTGTAATATTGTTTTATTTAGAGCATACGACAAATAAAAAAGGTAATAAAAATTTTAAAAAGTACAAAAAGAAATTAAAAGTGTTAAAAATAAAAAATAAAAATTAAATAAAGAATTAAGCAATTGAAAGACAAAAATAAATCATTTTTTCGTTCATTATCTATGTCTTCATCTCTCTTTCACTTTGAAAGAAAATGCTATGAATTCGTCAAGTCAATATTTTATTTAACAATGACTGGTTTTTTGCTTTCAATACCAATGTGCATGATCTGGTTGATAAAATTGCGTTTTATTATGGTTCCATTATTCTTCGAAGTATTAGGTTGTTCAGAAAGTAATTTCTTTCTCCGCGCAAAATTCATTAAAATCTCTCTCTCTCTCTCTCTCTCTCTC